CACTAATTTATTCTGCCTTTTTTTTTTTACATTTCCTAAAATATTTCATTGGGGGGGGGGGTTGTAGCTTCCCACATTTACTACTATTCCGATTCACAAAGGCATTTAGACTGCCCTGCTATAAACTTTGCACGCAAGCAGAACGTCCCAGTGGCCAATCAGAAACAGAGATGTGACCACATGTCATGGAACTACATTTCCCACAAGGCAGCCTCTGCCTACATTTCCCATGAGATAGCTCCTTAAAGGAGGTTCTTAATTCCTACACTAGCTACAGATTGCTGGGGCAGCAAAGTCAGCTTGAGAGATCTTCTCCTATTGGACAAGGACCGGAAGGGTGTTTGGGGAGGGGTGGAGCCACGCAACCCAATGTTGATACACACAGTAAAGTCTTTGCACGCTGCCGCGAATTCTCCCCTCCCCTTTCTACCTCGGCTCTTGACGTCACCACAGGCTTCTGCCCAAAAGCAGAGGTATCAGCCCGCGTCACTTAGAACGGAGCGTGCTGTTCCGAAAGCATCTTTTCCTCTCTCTCGTTCACCCCAGCGCTTCTCTCCTGTGCAGGGGGGGCCTTTTCAGTTTTCACCAGAAATAACCTTAACTTATTGTTTTCTGTAGACTTGAAATATTACAATTCTGGTTTTTATTATATTTAATTGTTTAGTTTAATTGTTTCCTGTACCGGTCCTTCGGACTGTCAGTTTTTTGCTTCGATATAAAAGAGAGAAATCGACTGAAGAAAGAAATTCCAGAAGCTCCGGAAGTTTGCAAGTTTTAAGCTTTGTAAATCGAGGTAAAATATTTAATTTTGGGTTTGGGGGAGGCGGGGGTGGGGGGGGAAGAGGCTCGAAGAAGATATCAACAGCTGTCTGAGTGGCTTGCTAGTGATAGAAATGTAAGAATTTAAATGTAAATGTTAAGTGATTTTTTAAAATGTAAGAATGTGTGGGGACTTAATTTAAGGTGTGAGCGGAATAGGGAAGGAGCATTTGGGGTGGGCGGGG